CCATTATTAATGCAAGGAACGCCGGTTCTGTTTTCTTGGGGTGTGCAAGCTGCGTAAGCAAGATAAAGAATACTTCACTAATTTGCACTCTTGCGCTTAGATGGCACTCAGTCGTCATGATCAAAAGAGAGTATCACCGTTCATCGTTATAACATTGTGTCTTTCTCTTCAAAGTACTTGACCGTCACTAGGTTATAACATGCCCTAAACTGGCATATTGCGGTGATGTGATTACATTGAAAACAATTGGTCAATTTAAGGCTATAAACTGCATACCTATATTTTCATAACCGTCCCACTGGTTTACAACCAAGGTTTCAAATCCATATTTAAACCACGAAAGATACTGTAGCCATGACAACCAATCTGGTATTGTGCTGAAATGATATAACATATTCGCACTATCATGAGTTTCTCCTTGATTCAGATTCTGAGGCGATGTAAGGGAGGTGAATTCTAGTCAGTGGCGCGTAATATCTCAGCAAAGTACGACAAGAAAAATAAACAAGATGGCGGAGCAATTGTCAGGAAAGTGTATACGTTATGACATACCTCACAATTTAAGTACTGTGCACTTTTTCGTTTCTCGAAGAACGAAAATAATAAGAATTAAGTAGATCTTTGTATGTTTCACAAGTTAAAGAGTCATTTTAAAAACGGAATACTAGCCACTGAATTTCCAATGAATGTAATGAAGGAGGGATTCTGTGCTAAGCTTTAGTGTCCAGCATTATCGAAGCTTCTTGTTGAGTACTAGACATGATCGATGAATCGACTAAGCCTTTTAAGAGAAGCAAATAACGCCCTGGTAATATGCAGAATGTTTACCACTTTAACCTACGACCTTGTGGTTACTAGCCCCGATGTTCACCACTCTAAGCGATAGAAAACTCGTTGGACCTTAAAGATCGTTATACAAAGGTAAAGGCTTGCATTGTTTATAGTGGAAAGTGCACTTGGCTTATCAAGCTAGTTTACAGGCACTCCAATCAAATACTTAGAAACAAATAATTCAAATACAACATAACAGGATAAAAACCCCCAACGAGCAGGAGGCAACCAGTTGGCTGTTTACAAGTGTGGCCTAGGATTGAACTCGGATGACCGAGAACAAATCCAGCAAGTCGCCAGAGCGGGACTCGAACCCGGGGCCGCCGGATTGTGAGTCCGACGCCCAGACAACTAGGTCACGCTGTCGCCCTGTTTCGAATCCTATTGGGAATACGCCATCATTCCGCTACATTTGGTCTGGACAAACTACATTTTGTATCTGATCAAACGACGACCCTCATCTCGACATCGTTCACCTGACCGCGCTTCAAATAAAAACATCCAAACCACAGCGATATGACACTTACTTGTTTTTAACGTAGAATCCGCCAATAAGTAACAGAGGTAGAAGTAACGGGGCACTGATGGCAGAGGCGGCTGGTACAGACGGTGCGACTGTGGATACGATATACCCTATAACAGGAAAATAATACAAATTCATGGTGAAACATATCTTCTGGAAAGACCACGTTACAAATTGCGAACTATATGGTAGTTTAGAAAGAATGTCCACTGCTATCAGACCGTACGGAACGGAAGAATTGCACTATCCTGGCATGTTCTTCGTGTTGGGCAGCGCATCAGCTGATCACAGCATGGGTCCCACGATATTGGAGGGGTCAAGAGGACGTCCGACAACAAGATACACATGGGGGATTGTTGTAATTACCATCGAGAGTTTAAAATGATTTTGCTGTTTCGCAACACTGGTACTAAAATGTCGTGGATAATCATTTTTTATGCTTGAATATTAAACATAAGCCAAAAGTAGTTGCATACAGTCGCTACAGAAACAGTATCAACAACACAAATTTGTTGAGCGGTACCATAGAGATAAAACATACCATAGGATACAGCTACTACGCTGACCAAAGCAAGGATCCCGTATGCATAGATGAACCTTAGTACGTTTTCTCGCAAGCCTGAAAATATCAGATAAAAAATTTTTAGATAACAAAACAAAAGATAGGGGAAACCAAGGCAAAAAGTTGTATAACACCTAGCTATCGATTGATTCGAAAGGCGATGAAACTTATGTAGTTAAAGATGCTGACCTAACAGATAAAAGTTTAGCTGTCGCCGCTATTGTAGAGTCAGCTTTAAATATCTTCTAGAAAGCGTAAATAAAGTTTTAAAAGCATCGGGAATAAAACTCCGCCGCAATGATTATTCCTCGTTTGTTTTAAGGTGATCTATCGATTATGAAATACCCCCAAAAATAAACGTGGAAGTTAAAGGTTGTTTAGACGTCTTGTAAAACATAGGCATTTACTCCTCTTAAACCTTCTTTCTACAGTGAAAACAACGGTCTGGCGGCTGACCGTTTTTTTTTCTTTTCTGTAGGAAGGACATGTACAAATATTGCTGTGATAATTATTGCATAGTCGCATATCTAAGAAATGAAACTAATCTTTTTTAACACACTTTTTACTATGGATGCGGCTACACTAGCCCTTTTACCCAAGGGCAAATGGGTTAAAGTATATAACATTTACCGAGAAAATTAATTTTTATCAAAGTTATGTTTGTCTGTGCAAATATTAACACAGCTCCGCAATCAAATGAAAACGTTAACTTGCAAATTAGACAAACATGCTTGCTATTGGTATAACTTAACATCTTAGTGCAAGTCGTGCCTGCCGAGGTTCAGTTGTACCCCATCACAGATTCAATATGATCGTGACTACGGACACATGAACATCAACTGTGGTATAAGATTTATAGAAGTCTTTGTTTTGTAGCTGATTGTTTTTGCTTGTTTGTTTGTTTGTTTTTTTTGTATCTATTCCTGTTGTTGTTTTTATTGTTAAGGTCTATTAATACTTCACCAGGCAAATGAGAGCCAAGTTTACACAGTCCTCTGGAATTTAAAAATTATAATTAACATATTGCATTTAAAGCGGCTTTACATGGAGACAAATTCCTTAAATCTCAAAAATATTGTTCAGCCATGTTTCCCATGGTAATTCTCGATCATCACCTGGAGTCTGATTGGATCGCGTTTGGTGTAGATGAGATTTAAAAGGTTAAAAATAGTCGGAAACGTTCCAATATTCATGTCAGTCTTCAATGTTTACAAGGACGTTTACCTGCGCCCCTTGGGCAGTTTATCGCCGTTTAACCGCAAACATGAAAGTAATCAAAACCTAGAACGAACCCAACCCGAGCTATTTCTCAGAGGGGATATGCAGCCTTGGAGAAAAGGTCTAGTGTAACCGCACAAGAAGCCTATGATGGGCTCCTCACAGCATTTAATATAACTTACTTACCGATCATCCAGTAGGCGATTGTAATCAAAAGAAGGGGATTGAATAAAAAAAGAGGTGCCTAGAAATTGCAAAAAAAGGTTAGTTTCTGCTAAAAAAAAAATAATAATAAAAAAAAATAATAAAATAAAAAGTCATCTAAACGGGACTCATTATAGGGGTCGTCGCCTCTTTCATTGCTTTAGGTTTGACATAAATTGCGTGGATAACAACGCTTTACACTACACTCACCTCAGCAAAAGTCTTGGACAAAAAGTAAACGTCTGTCCGATACATGCCATTATGGTGCTCTCGTAAAAACACAGATAGCTCGACTGGAAAAGTCTAACAATAATAAAGAAAAAGTTTATCAAAATGCAATCTACATTAAGGTGGCTCGATCCGGTATTTTTGTAGGTACACCTATTATAATTATATAACACATGGATTACACATTATCATGATATTAGTTTTTTTTTCTTACAATCGAAATTTAATATCATGTGACAATGACGAACTCACAATGGCCTGCTCTCCATTTGGCTTGATTCGCCTAATGGATAGAGCGTTGTGTCAGGTCATCGCAAAGGTCAGGATTTGATTCCCGGTCAAGCCTGATTTTTTTTCAGGTTCGTTGTCAACCGGTTAGGTTCTTCATTCAAATGCAAAGATCATGTTTACTTTCATATCCTTATCCGTAGTTAAAGTCAAGATTCATTTCATATATTTCAATTTGCTGACGTCTCAATCGTCTTGGCTTATGAATATCAACATGTTTTGGTAACTTCTTATGATGGCCAATTGATAAAATTAAAGACAGAGGCATATGACGATTAAGGTAAATTTTCAAACACTTACGAAGATGACAGATGCAACGTTGTTAAACGTAACAGACGTGAGAAGAAAGAAAATCGCTCCAGATATATTCTGGATACCAGCTTGATCCACCTTTGTTTGGAAGTAAATTATTCCGGCTATGAGACCTACGAACTACACAAGATAGTAGGCAGATATCAGTCATAGCACAGGCTATTAATCTGAAATACCAGGGGCACCCACCGACTGTTTTCTGTACAATATCTGTTCGGCGAAGGCTCAAGCAAATTATTTCCTAGAATTTTCTTCTGCTTGATGACGGCTAAAAATTTCTAGATGCATGTTCCATTCGTGTACAATTTTCGAAGCTTATCAAATGAATTCCCTATGATATTATTACATGTTAAATTATTCATACTTTTATTTTACTACCCAGGTCACACTATTTTTCGTAGAAAAAGGAAACCAAAAATTTTCCTATAGGAGAGAGGGATAAAAAAAAATCTCACTTTCGTAAAACGTTAAATTGCACTTTAAATTTTCGGAAAAATAATACTAAAGCCCTTCTAATTTCGAAAAGTCTTAAGTTCCCCTGTGATGACGGATCAGACAAAAATTTTGTAACGCCGCTTAGAATTCATTTCTAGAGATCTAAAAGTACTTTGGATAGCCTAAAAAGTGTTTTAAACGTATTTTGGAGGAAACTGTCGTTGGGTGCCCCTGAAATATCAATTAGGCTTTTACCTATCCGAACATTTGTTAAAGGGGCCGCTATGTCATACTATTTGCTATCTTTTTAGAAAGACAAAACTTGTCTTCACATCAGTTTAATTCAAAAATTAATAATGGTGCAGTTTTGTTATTGAAGACTATTATTAAAAGTTATTATGGCTAGTGCCCCTTGATAAAATTTGTTTGATATTGTTGCAGCAACTTTACCACTGACTTTTACGCTGATGCTGAAAACCGCACAGATTGTCGAGAGCCGACATTTGTTACGCCAACATTGTTACAGTTAGAAGATCGTAGTCAGCCTGTTTTATTAAGAGGACGAAAAATGAACGGCAGGTTGGAAGTATTTTGCCTAAATTGAGAACAACTGAACTTCGATCAGTGAACTGTTTGAACCCAGGAGTCATTTCTCAAGTAGGTCGAGCATGATCGTCCGGGTAATCGTAGTCCGTAATAGGACCGTCTGACGTTTCAACAACCTGTGCGGTAGCCACTTCAGAGTCTGTTGCCCCGGCATATGACAGAAAGAACATAAATCTCAACCATCTAGATATGATGTCAGTGGCTCTTACTATGCTCTGATAGAGTCGGACTCTAAAGATAACGACATCTCGATTAAAGGTGAGCCAGGATCGCCAGAAAACAGAACGAAACTGTTTGATCCAGGACACTTTGTACCTGAGATAGAAAAGTCAATATTAGATATTTAAAAGGTTAAAAATAGTCGGAAACGTTCCAATATTCATGTCAGTCTTCAATGTTTACAAGGACGTTTACCTGCGCCCCTTGGGCAGTTTATCGCCGTTTAACCGCAAACATGAAAGTAATCAAAACCTAGAACGAACCCAACCCGAGCTATTTCTCAGAGGGGATATGCAGCCTTGGAGAAAAGGTCTAGTGTAACCGCACAAGAAGCCTATGATGGGCTCCTCACAGCATTTAATATAACTTACTTACCGATCATCCAGTAGGCGATTGTAATCAAAAGAAGGGGATTGAATAAAAAAAGAGGTGCCTAGAAATTGCAAAAAAAGGTTAGTTTCTGCTAAAAAAAAAATAATAATAAAAAAAAATAATAAAATAAAAAGTCATCTAAACGGGACTCATTATAGGGGTCGTCGCCTCTTTCATTGCTTTAGGTTTGACATAAATTGCGTGGATAACAACGCTTTACACTACACTCACCTCAGCAAAAGTCTTGGACAAAAAGTAAACGTCTGTCCGATACATGCCATTATGGTGCTCTCGTAAAAACACAGATAGCTCGACTGGAAAAGTCTAACAATAATAAAGAAAAAGTTTATCAAAATGCAATCTACATTAAGGTGGCTCGATCCGGTATTTTTGTAGGTACACCTATTATAATTATATAACACATGGATTACACATTATCATGATATTAGTTTTTTTTTCTTACAATCGAAATTTAATATCATGTGACAATGACGAACTCACAATGGCCTGCTCTCCATTTGGCTTGATTCGCCTAATGGATAGAGCGTTGTGTCAGGTCATCGCAAAGGTCAGGATTTGATTCCCGGTCAAGCCTGATTTTTTTTCAGGTTCGTTGTCAACCGGTTAGGTTCTTCATTCAAATGCAAAGATCATGTTTACTTTCATATCCTTATCCGTAGTTAAAGTCAAGATTCATTTCATATATTTCAATTTGCTGACGTCTCAATCGTCTTGGCTTATGAATATCAACATGTTTTGGTAACTTCTTATGATGGCCAATTGATAAAATTAAAGACAGAGGCATATGACGATTAAGGTAAATTTTCAAACACTTACGAAGATGACAGATGCAACGTTGTTAAACGTAACAGACGTGAGAAGAAAGAAAATCGCTCCAGATATATTCTGGATACCAGCTTGATCCACCTTTGTTTGGAAGTAAATTATTCCGGCTATGAGACCTACGAACTACACAAGATAGTAGGCAGATATCAGTCATAGCACAGGCTATTAATGTGAAATACCAGGGGCACCCACCGACTGTTTTCTGTACAATATCTGTTCGGCGAAGGCTCAAGCAAATTATTTCCTAGAATTTTCTTCTGCTTGATGACGGCTAAAAATTTCTAGATGCATGTTCCATTCCTGTACAATTTTCGAAGCTTATCAAATGAATTCCGTATGATATTATTATATGTTAAATTATTCATATTTTTATTATATACATACTGAGAAATACTCACCAGAAAGCTATGTCGTAAATTTTCGTACGCAAATTAGTTCTAGCCAATCAGAGGAGCGAACGATGGTTTTCACACGTGAAAAAAATGATACGTCCAATCAGAATCGCGAACGATGTTTTTTCACGTGTGAGAAAAATGATACGTCCAATCAGAGGCCACAGAGGTGTGTGAGTTTCGCGCCAAAATTCCCGTCTTTTATTGCAGCTTGCAGCGCCGCTTCGCACACATTCAACGAGAAAAGTTTTACTCAAAGAGTTTCTCTCGCTAAAAAAGTGAAAAACATTTCGGAAATGGAGTGGAATAGTTTCGTTTGTTTCACTGCCGATAAAGAAAACGGTAGAGAGCCGGCGAAACAACAGCGGAAAGGGAAAAACAGAACGAGACGTAAGCTTTTGTTGTGCTTTTTGTCGGAGCTACTTTGCCTTTCATTTAAGCTTAAGCTTATATTGAAACCGGCCATTTTACTTAAATTCACTCATTTTCAATTGTGCATTGACAACAAACAGTTAAGATTACTTATAGTTCTTGGATTATCTGATATCCTTACCGTCATTTATGTTTTTAACAAACGTTTTTACTAAAAAGCTGATACTTCGTTTTCGTTGTCATTTTGCGGCAAGTGTGTAGCGGCAAATAAGCATTTTTGAAAGATTTAAAATAAAAAGGCCGCCAAAATGATGAATGTCTCGGTATGTATATAATAAACACAATACCACATGGAAAGTGCTTTGTACGGTATTTACGCACTCGTTGTTTTTGTATCAGAAATCTTACTCGTTTGCTGCGCTCACTCGTTCGATTTCTGATACGTCAACAACTCGTGCGTAAATACCGTACGCCAGCACTTTCCATGAAGTATTCTCTATTTATTTTACTACCCAGGCCACACTATTTTTCGTAGAAAAAGGAAACCTAAAATTTTCGTATAGGAGAGAGGGATAAAAAATCTAACTTTCGTAAAACCTTAAATTGCACTTAAAATTTTCGGAAAAATAATACTACAGCCCTTCTAATTTCGAAAAGACTTAAGTTCCCCTGTGATGACGGTTCAGACAAAAAATTTGTAACGCCGCTTAGAATGCATTTCTAGAGATCTAAAAGTACTTTGGATAGCCTAAAAAGCGTTTTAAACGTATTTTGGAGGAAACTGTCGTTGGGTGCCCCTGAAATATCAATTAGGCTTTTACCTAACCGAACATTTGTTAAAGGGGCCGCTATGTCATATTATTTGCTATCTTTTTAGAAACACAAAACTTGTCTTCGCATCAGTTTAATTAAAAAATTAATAATGGTGCAGTTTTGTTATTGAAGACTATATTTAGGCATTGAAATTGTTTCCTGTCGTCTGTTTCTACGAACAGCAAGGATGTATGTGGATTAAAACAAGAAAAAGTTGGGCCAGCGTTTTCAAGTTTTAATGCTATGCCCGCGAAAATCAACATAAAAGTTATTATGGCTAGTGCCCCCTGATAAAATTTGTTTGATATTGTTGCAGCAACTTTACCACAGACTTTTACGCTGATGCTGAAAACCGCACAGATTGTCGAGAGCCGAAATTTATTACCGCCAACATTGTTACAGTTAGAAGATCGTAGTCAGCCTGTTTTATTAAGAGGACGAAAAATGAACGGCAGGTTGGAAGTATTTTGCCTGAATTGAGAACAACTGAAATTCGATCAGTGAACTGTTTGAACCCAGGAGTCATTTCTCAAGTAGGTCGAGCATGATCGTCTGGGTGATCGTAGTCCGTAATAGGACCGTCTGACGTTTCAACAACCTGTGCGGTAGCCACTTCAGAGTCTGTTGCCCCGGCATATGACAGAAAGAACATAAATATCAACCATCTAGATATGATGTCAGTGGCTCTTACGATGCTCTGATAGAGTCGGACTCTAAAGATAACGACATCTCGATTAAAGGTGAGCCAGGATCGCCAGAAAACAGAACGAAACTGTTTGATCCAGGACACTTTGTACCTGAGATAGAAAAGTCAATATTAGATGGGGGAGTAATGCATGCAAAAGTTAGGTAATAAAGCCTTTTGCGAGCGTCATAAAGAGGGGGAGACAGCAGAAAAACGTCTCTAACATTTAAAGTTGTTATCGCAATAATTGCAATTTCCTTATCCTGGCAAATATCGGCGAGTTTTCGAAGACCTGCATTAGTAAGACGCTGCGTTGAAAAACAAACAAATAAATAAACAAACAAACAAAGAACAAAAAGTCAAATTCTTTCTCCCGCGTTAAATCTTTCCAATAAAACGTTGCACTAGGAAATTGTATACGAAGAACAAACGAAGCACTGCACTACGATAAGTGTTCGTTCTTTTTGCTTCTTGTCGTAATTGTCTAAACTCTCTATCACTTCAGATTTTGCTGTCTGTTAAGATTATTTATTTCGACAAACGAAACTGACGCGATTTGAGTTAAATAACAGTTGACTCAACGTTGGCAAAGGTAATGGAATCAACGATCATTTGTTGTGGAACCGAAACATGTTAATGGAAGCGTGCTAGAGCGCAGATTTTTCCATCAAGGTTGCAAGAGATCCTGCGGCATTATGACTCTTTACAACTGAAATTAGGCAGCTTATTTCTGAATTACCACTAAATGGTCGTTTTCACACTAGAGACTGATGGATCCATCTTCAAAATCCGTCAAAATTGAGGGAGAAAACAGATAGTTAAAGTCAGGCGGCTTGTCCATCCAATATTAAGACCGTTCCATTTTTCAAATTAAGACGATTATTATCTGTCTGACGCGAATAATCCAACGAATAACCCGTCTCAGACGGATAATCAGTCTCTAGTGTGAATGCGGCCAAGGTGTAATATTCTTACGGCGAACGACGAACAGCAACGTCTTCATCTTTGAAGGAATCCTGAAATAACATGTAATTCAACGACAGGCGCTTGTTAGCTTATCCGGAGTCCGCTCCTTGATGTCGAAAATGCGCATGAGTACAATGAGACAAGGGGTAGTAAACATAGCAATTGACATATTGGTGTCGAAATAACCTGGAAAGGATTGTTAAATTAAAGGGGGACAACATAAACGATCCAGAATCTAAGAGAAGGGTCCAGTTCAAAAACCGCAATATCTTTTCAGACTTGGCTTTGTTTGTCAGACAGTTTGAACCTGCATTAGAGCCCCAGAAACAAACTTTTGGCTTCAAAAATAATAAACAAATGAAATTTGTTCTATGACGTTCATAGACTGAGATACATCACGCTAGTACCAGTGTACTGCATAGCACTTTTATGATTACGGCCACTCTTATCGCTGAATAGTAGCATTTTTAATTTTTTGAGGTCCCAAAACTGTCTCATTTTTGCTAGAGATTATATTTCGCGCATCATGTTAGGTAGTAACTAACCTGTCTCTCGGGTTCCTCTGCGTCAGCTGTTTGACTTGCCTCCTTTGCACTATACGCATCACATATGTCCTATAGAAATCACACGTTATGAGAATAATGTAACTGCTTTACGTCAGATGTTGTCAAAACATATTACACAATTTCCAGCAAAAAAAGCAACAACAACAACAACGGAAAGATGTAGACAAGTGTGCTTTCGTTTAACCCTCAAAGACTCTATGATATTCTCAAAATCTGACAGTGCACCGTTGCTGAATAACAATTTAGATCAATTAAAATGATTTAGCAGGATTGTTTTGCACTATTTTTCTTGAATTCTCTGTAACGGATTTCCTTGTTCTCTTTAAGTGTTAATAAACTCTATAGTCGGAGTGCAGAGGGTTAATCGATATCTGTGACACGTTGCAAGGAAATCCTCTAGATGAAAGTGAGCGGTTGCAGTTAATCTTTAACTTTATGAGACCGTACCCCAGCTAGAAAGGACTGTTACCTCCGTTTAAGCTACATACAACAGCGTGTCTCACCTGGACTCTTTGTTGGCAGTTTTGTTCGTTGCCAGGAACAATTGCCAAAGTATGAACAAAGTGATCAGCGGGATTAAAGTTGATAGGACAAGGATATCCTAAGCTGTTGAAAAATACAGAGGAAATTCATACGTTAGAAAACATGCTCACTGCGGCATCAGTGACCGTATGATTTGCTGCAAAGGAGTTCTGGTTCCGGTTTTCAAGCGCTGGGTAGCGCTATTCACCAGATAAATCACTATCCAGCGGATAAGTATTAGGGGAATTGTAATCTACTTCAAAGTTACATTATTCCCAGTTATTACTCCAGAGCAGTAAGCGGTTAATGCGTGAGAAGGACACAGACCCACTTGTGTCTTTTGTCGAGCTTTTCTCCCAGTGCTTTCGACGCCATGTTCCGCCGCAAAATTTTTTCAGAGGCTTTCCCTCCGCCGAGAACTGATATCTAACTATTTATCTCGCTAAATCACCTAAATTATCATGCACTGAAATCGCTTCCCCAGTCCCCTCCATGTCTGACGCACTTCTAATTTACAACTATTACTATTTATCTGCTTAAGGTAAAACAACAACGATGACAATAACAATAACGATCACGATCACAATAACGATAACGAGAATGACAACGGATCGGTAACTATGACGATAACGATAACTAGAACAAGGGGAGGCGACCACTAAGAGGGATTTTCGTCTTGGTTTGACACTCATCTGAATCTCACCTTATTTCTGCTCTTGATACTTACGAGACCATTGTACACACTTATTACTATCAATTGCTTCAAAACTTTAAAACTGTCTCCCTGGTATTTACGGTACCTGATTCCACTGCGCAGTACGTTAACTAGTTTATATTTCATCACCTGGAAGCTAAGGCCGTACTGAACATTTCAGGCTCACTAAAACAAAATGTCCTGCTACAAAAACAAAACAATGCATCGTGTTTGAAAAGACAAGTGGAAAAGGGATTTTTAGTTTTTTTTTTTTTTTTTAAGAAATTGCGGACATTGTAAACCGCGTAGCCCATAAGTCCTTGATTTGTTTTGACGCGCGTTAAGCTGAAGAATCGAAATTTCAGCTTTAAAAAATGTTTTATTAAATATGAGGGTACAACATCTACCTGTCAAAATACTGAATGGCGTCGGCTGTAGAACCCATGTAGGCTGTCCTTCCCTCAGCCAACAGGAGGATGCTGTGAATCAAAGAAAAAAAAATGACAAACNTAAGCTGAAGAATCGAAATTTCAGCTTTAAAAAATGTTTTATTAAATATGAGGGTACAACATCTACCTGTCAAAATACTGAATGGCGTCGGCTGTAGAACCCATGTAGGCTGTCCTTCCCTCAGCCAACAGGAGGATGCTGTGAATCAAAGAAAAAAAAATGACAAACGAACCTTTCATAGAGTTGTACGCAAGTATCTTAAAAACAAAGTTTCCTTCCGCTTAATCACCGCCGTTTAATTTGTGTTTGCCACTGAAATTGTTATCTTTTTAACAGCTGCTGGTCATAAATAAGAAGGGTACACCACAAAAAAAATAGAGTTGTAAATAAATGAATGAGTCAGCGAATAAATTATCAAATAAAAAATCTAATTAAAAGACTATCGTAGCACATTCATGTAGGAACTCCTTGTCTCCTTGTCTGAAATTTGGAATTTTGCACTTTTTTCTGTGGAGGGGGTTAACCCCGATGTACCTGGAGGAAGACGTCTTGTATGTAGGTGGAGAACCAAACTCAACCCGTATTCACCGGGGTCACCAAGGCGTGGCCACCGGGATGGTACCCACGAGTCATTGTTTGAAATTAGAGGGAGATTAACGCTCTCACACCGCCACACTCCTCCTCCGATTTACCTGTGAAACATGGCGTAAACTTCAGATGAAGGTTGGTGAATGGTACAGATGATAGTTCTCCCTTGATCCGCAAGCTGCTGCAATGCCGTCACTAGACTTTCAGCCATGAATGAATCAAGACCGGAAGTTGGTTCATCAGCAAACAACAATGGAGGGTCGGTAATTACCTGGTTAGTAATGACATATAGTGAGTTGGTATGACAAAAAAAAATTGAGATGGGATGGAATAAAAAAAAAAAACTGTAAACTGTTTGTTTATAGTGGCAGAGCGCTAAGCTGCGCTAAACTGAATACTTTAAAGACCCTTAACTTGAATACGCTATTAATTAGAAACACTGAATTAATCCAAACTCAGCATAAAAATGACGCAGTCGATTGGCTACTTAAAAGCAAGCACAGCAGAACTGAATTGAACTCTGGGGTAGAGAGGAACAAATTCAATAATTTCTTAGGACGGGATACGAACAAGGAACTTAGTCGCGCTGATCAGTCGGCCACGCTGCCTCCAAGATGGAAAACAGGTAACTCCGGTTATCACAATATCACTTTATTAAAGGGTAAGTGTCCATTCTGGATTAAGTGGTGACCCAGGCAACACATAATGACGCATAAAAAAAAAGAGCAAGTGGATGTGGGATGTGTTCCAGCGTAGAAGAGTAATCTAAAGGACTAATCTGTAAAGTGTAATAAGAGGCACCAATCGAGGCTTTCAAATTGCTACCTTGCTACCTTACTTAAAGCCGACCATTTTAAAATCAACCGTTTTAAGAATAGCTTTGTTATCTTTTCATGTCTTAAAGCAACTAACTTATAGAATAGGAGAGTTTTCACATTTGGCAGCTTGTATTTTCAATCGATAACTTTTTTGGGCATCTCATCTCTTGTTAGCTTTTTTATTCCTTTCAATTAAGATAGGTTAGTTAATGTTTTTGATCTATAATTTAATTTTTGTAACGGAAATACGCAATTCAGTTTTCGAACTACTATGCATTTACGAATTAATAAACTTCAAACTTCAAACTTCAAACTAATTACTTAGTTACTTACCTTGGCACTATACGCAGATAAAATGTTGGTTAATCATACCTCTGAAGCGAATGACAGTCGTTTCTTTTCTCCCCCTGATACTCCGCGTAATCGTCCAGGTATTCCAATGAATGTATCAGCACACTTAGTTAGGCCGAGCTTTAATCAATCAATCAATCAATCAATCAATCAATCAATCAATCAATCAATCAATCAATCGATCGATCAATCACTCACTCACTCAATCAATCAATCAATCAATCAATCGATCACTTACTCTCTCAATCAATCAATCAATCAATCAATCAATAAATCGATAGATCGATCAATCAATCAATCAATCAATCAATCAATCAATCAATCACTCAGTCAGATAGTCAGTCAATCAATCAATCAATCAGTCGCCAGTCAGTCAGTCAATCAAACAAACAAACAATCAATCAATCAATCAATCAATCAAACAATAAACCAATAGATCGATCAATCAATCAATCAAACACAGCATGCATAGGATAAGTCTGAATAAAAGAACTTGGCTGAAATATCTCGTTGTCTCTGTTTATCTTTTCGATCTCCTGCCTTAAAGAGAAAGCAGTTCACTGCAATAAGACAGGTCTCTCTTTGAACACGATCACAGAGAAAAGTACTGTTTTTGAAGTTTTAGATTCCGTGATTCCTTTGAAAGAAATATGATATCTCTATCGAATAAAATAAAGTTTTGTCAAATTTGTGCAAACAATTAATAAATATCAACCTGTGCCACCCTTTATTTACATGGGTAAATAAATGTGATTTACGAAAAAACAACTTTTTTTCGCATTCCATTCGAAATGTTATCCCCAAACGAATGACCAGCAAATTAGCCTTGAATGCGCCATAACATATTTTACTACAAGTTCTCCATGGCCGACCCAGGATACAACGAGCTAAGTCTCCATTGCCAAGAAGGAAAACTTAAAAAAAAGGTCGAATGTCATTAAAATGGACATTTATTAATTTTCAGGCTTCCTTTATATGAGCTTGTTTGCTGATTAGGAAGTGAGGAAATTAATGGATGACCGAATAAGTCAGTCCTGACAGGTGTTTGCATGCCTTTGGCAGCTGTTTCAAATTTCAAGGCAGTTTTATTTTTTTTTACAAAGGTTCATACCTGTAGTATAACTTCCTCGACGCGTTCTTTCCGCTGGTGACCTGGGACGTGTTTGTCCATGCGCAGAAAAGCCTAGGAACAAAAATTTATGTGAGAAGGAGAAAAATAGGCCATTTTCGAGTTCCTCCGGGCCTCTGTATCAAAACGAGGTCAAGTGCTCAGTCTTTGATATGGAAATGACTTAATTTGATTCTCATGCAAATAAAACTCATTTTCACAAGAAAGGTTGTGCACTTGGCGTCATTTTGAAAGAGAGGGTTTTTGGAACTCGGAAATGGCCTATTCGGTTATCATAAATTTTACTATATTCTGTTTTCTACGATCCGTTTTAAGGCTCTGGGAAAATTCTCTTTTTTACTACAGTATACCGAACCATGTTAACCTGTTGTAGTCTCTTTGTCAAATATGTTTAATCAATAATGTCTTGAGGGAAATGGGCACCTTTGGTCATTGCAAAGAAAAAGAAACGTTTTTTTTTTCCATGCCAAATCCCTTCTTGCTTCTCGACCGTTAGAGACTAGTCAAATCAAGAAAACTTTCCTGATTCGAACCCATGACCCCTTCATTACCCTACCAATACGGGCGGAGCAAGCTAATAATCCAAATGGAAGCTGGTAAATCAGTCTGTTCATTTTAAACCCGTTTATCAATGAGAATAATTTTTAGACTTAAACGTATAAAATGGTTTCTTCGAATCGACATAATTCAGCCACATCGCTTGGCTTTCATCAGTCAAAGTGAATGCAAGGTTACATTGTAGTCACTTGACCTCAGGATGGTCACATGACAAGAGAACTGTACCATAGTTTGTTTTTAGTTCTAGCCTTCCATCAGGGACAAGACAGGGGCCGTCTTCTACAACCTCCTTTATCTTCCCTTTCAGAGTGTTGCCTTCCGGGAGTATAACCTCTACTTATCATGTGTGATTGAATGACCAAGTGTAGAGCAATGTTTATGTATTACAGGCGATGTTCATCTCATTGATGTCAACGGAACGTGAAATGAACTTGTTTCGTTTCAAACCCGCGTTAATGTTTGAACTTCGGAACGAATAATTCAACTATATATATCAGTAAAGATCATCGAAGTTATCGAAAACAACTCTTGCGTGCTGCGAAAAGTAAAGCTGGAAATAATTAGGCTTGTACTAAAACCCAGTTAGTTTGTTAGTTCAATTGGTGGAGCAATGGCTGGTACTGGCTTGTATCGCACAAGTCTGAAATCTTTCACTGAAAAAGTTTTGTCCTCTTTAGATATAAATTGATGGTGTAGTGTTTTGCTGAAAAAAAAAAAAACAATAAAAGTAAAACAAGGAGACAGAGTGAAGAATGATTACGATTAAAATTAACATTAGACATAAGTTATTTCAAAACAGGGGAATTTCTACTGAAATAAGCACCGCAAGGACACTTCGAAATTTTACTTCTAAATCATCTCTTGAGTAAAAATGAATAAATAAACAACATAGGTTTTCTTGGGAGTAATAAAAATTTTATGCCCATCATGGTGTTAAGTTAAAACAATCCGAAAAAAAAAATGAAACGATGAAAGTGTACGGACTTTGAATTTCAGGAATGTCTTCTTACAAATCGCAGATCGGGGCATATTTTATTGAAGTTTCCTAGAATATTGTCTCAATATATGGCACAAAAACTTATTCTGATTCACAATCCTTGGACTATACATATCATTTGACAACTGCATTTGCAATTTCCGGGGCAATACAGTCATGTTATTAACAAACATTGCGATTTTTTTTTTATAGTTTTAAACTTAAAATACAGGGTCAAATTTGAACTCATTGTTTTTTTAACAACAGTCTTAATAATTGATTATGTTCCAGTTTGTTCGCTCAGCTTCATGTCTGAGTAATAAAATTAAATTCACTGTGGGACCCGTTAGTGGAGGGTCCATAAGTGGCCTTAAAGACGATTTGCTGACGGTTTGCTGATGCACTGTGATAGTTAAAAGTGGCCACAACTCCCGAGAAACGTTTTCGGTATGGAGCCTAGCTTAACTGTTTCAAACCGTTTTTTTTTTGTTTGTGTGAGTCAAATTCTAAGTAAGATAACCGTTCGACAAGTCTCTTGAAGTGCATATCCTTAGCAAGAACACCCAATGCCATTGTTACCCATCCATTGGGCAACAATCTCTTCTAAAAGTAATTTTCAATTAACATTTTATAGGGTTGCTCAAATAGACTCTTAAAAGTTTTATCGGGTTCGTTACCGTCAGTCGCCAAGACACGAAAGAACGCTGTTGGCTAAACTAGTTTCACATTCTGGCGATGAAATTGGTTCTTCTATTTATTCCATTTTTTCTCAATGTTTGCTCTGCGCAACAATGCAAAAAAGTGGCATATTCAGTACGGGGATATTTCCTCAGAGATCATTTGATCTCTACTTCAAAGGTTAAAAGTATCGGTCAATGTCTGGTCGCATGCTCGCAGGATCAGCGTTGTCAGAGTATCAATTTTAAGTTTCTTGGTTCCATTTGTGAGCTAAATGATGCTGATAGGGAAACCAAACCTGGAGACTACAAATTAAACGATGGCTATGCCTACAGCGATTACTTCATCAAGGTGAGAGTCAAAATAAATTTATATGATGCGGTATTTTTAACAAAGATCTTTGAGGAAAAAAATAGCTATTGCAACTCCAAATGTCAAGAAACCTAAAGACCAGACTTCCAAGCATGGATATACATAATATGATATGCCCAAGAGCAATCACGAATTTGAATCCTACATGATAGTATTTAAGGAAAATTTGCAACAAGAAACAGCTACCAAACCTGCAGTATTTTGGAGCGTCGTTTTCCCATAGCTATGAAAAATTTAATTTGAGGATTTTTTATGCGTCCCTATCAAGAAAGATGTGCGAATTGGGCATATAAGACACTCTAGGTATAAACTAAATATAATACAACGGAAATCACTAGGGAGCGGAAGATTTGAGTCTTTCAGATGGTCAATATAGTTTCAGCCAGTAGAACTACTTTCCACAAGTTCAAGGTACAAGGCAAGAGAAATAGTAACATAAGGGCTCTAGATATCGGAACATAAACCGTAGGCTTATCCAACTGATTAATATGGTTAGACATATCAAGGGATGAAAGTAAGATTTAACACCAAGCGTAACAAATAGAAGATGGAAAGTTGTTATAATATTGAGCCCAGCTCTGGCCCTGTGGAAGTGGATGCTCTCACCCTGACTGACCGGTCTTAGCTACACTGATCTTAGTAGTAAATTTAAGGCCTGAACGTTAACATATATTTTACTTTAATAGGGACCACTGAACCACAAAGTGTACAAGATGACTCCACAGTTGCTCAAGGCGCATGCCTCATACATCGACAATTTTCACTCCATTGACGATGATCAAGTAACTTTTCATGAGATAACAGATGAAAGGGTCCCCGAATCAGCTGACATGGCTCTATTGAAAATTCCTTTGATACCTGCTGGAATGCTTTCAGATCAAGCTCATCTAACCATTAAAATAATTGTAACCAATGAAATCAACACCGGAGTCGACAGCGATCCATCTTATGGCCTATCAGACGGAACCAATTTTGTGGGATTTGAAGTCGTCGACACAAACAATTATGACACCTACCCTCCCTGTTTTGGGACGGAGGGTACATCAGGGGTATTACTAAAAGAAAGAGAGTACATTGATATGGATACTCCCTTGATCAGCAACCGTGTCTATCCTGGACAGTTTATCTTCACTCTGAAACCGCATATGATGGGGGGATCGTNAGACACTCTAGGTATAAACTAAATATAATACAACGGAAATCACTAGGGAGCGGAAGATTTGAGTCTTTCAGATGGTCAATATAGTTTCAGCCAGTAGAACTACTTTCCACAAGTTCAAGGTACAAGGCAAGAGAAATAGTAACATAAGGGCTCTAGATATCGGAACATAAACCGTAGGCTTATCAAACTGATTAATATGGTTAGACATATCAAGGGATGAAAGTAAGATTTAATAACACCAAGCGTAACAAATAGAAGATGGAAAGTTGTTATAATATTGAGCCCAGCTCTGGCCCTGTGGAAGTGGATGCTCTCACCCTGACTGACCGGTCTTAGCTACACTGATCTTAGTAGTAAATTTAAGGTCTGAACGTTAACATATATTTTACTTTAATAGGGACCACTGAACCACAAAGTGTACAAGATGACTCCACAGTTGCTCAAGGCGCATGCCTCATACATCGACAATTTTCACTCCATTGACGATGATCAAGTAACTTTTCATGAGATAACAGATGAAAGGGTCCCCGAATCAGCTGACATGGCTCTATTGAAAATTCCTTTGATACCTGCTGGAATGCTTTCAGATCAAGCTCATCTAACCATTAATATAATTGTAACCAATGAAATCAACACCGGAGTCGACAGCGATCCATCTTATGGCCTATCAGACGGAACCAATTTTGTGGGATTTGAAGTCGTCGACACAAACAATTATGACACCTACCCTCCCTGTTTTGGGACGGAGGGTACATCAGGGGTATTACTAAAAGAAAGAGAGTACATTGATATGGATACTCCCTTGATCAGCAACCGTGTCTATCCTGGACAGTTTATCTTCACTCTGAAACCGCATATGATGGGGGGATCGTGCTTTACTACTCAAGACGGCGGCTTTAACAAGACAGCATTGTACAGCAAGCAACTGAAGCCTAGCAAGGGTCTTATTCTTGAAGTTTATAAAGATGGCAAAAAAGAGAGAGTTGGCATTAAGTACATTGAGGTCCACATAATAAAAAGTGGTTAGTAGGAACAGACGATACAATTTCCAACACAAAAAAAACAATAAGATAAACTCATAAACTCATAAAACTCTCCGATGGGTGCTTCACTAACTTATTAAACTATGTCCCATCAATAAATGTGACGATGATGATGATGATGATGAAGACGACGATGGTAATGATGATTTATTTTACGTTCCTATAGCTCATTCAAGCTAGTTGTCGGGGATTATTAAAAGCTAAGAAATAAAGTGTACAATACTAATATATATACCTAAGAAACATGAAATGAAATGTTTCGTTATAGCGTCATTGTATTT